TTGGAGCCGGTATTAAAGTTACATATCCAATTATTTGTATAAAAATAATTAAAACTATAAATTAATGCAAAGATCATAGCAGCAATTTTTACAGTGAATGCCCTTCATGTCACAACCTTCATAATTATAATGATGTGATGAAAATTCTTAAACTGTCATCATCAAATGCTTATGATAAATCTCCAAGTGTCTTTATTACTGTCTTGATCGATAATATTGAACCAGATAGATAAAAGAGGTTATATTTCAATGCACTCAGAAACATGTCCGTCATACAAGAGTTCATTGTCAACTACAAACACCGAAGTGGGACTGAATCCCAGGCTGTGTGTTCTTATTTTTATAAAAAGGACATCCCAGTGCACTGGCGTCCTCGCAAAGTGAGGATTCCGGGAAAGGTCCCACCACAAGGGTGTATAAGGAGTAAGCCTTTGTCATTTTGACAAGAGACTGCTCCGAAGACTTGAACCCGTGACCTCTCAGTAACCGGTGCGCAAAGGCTCCCCTTCTGTGTACTTATTTCTATAAACAATATAAAACGAAGAATAGAACCTACAAAAATTGTTTTCAAGAATATACATTTGTACATATTGAACTTGATGTTACTCGTGTGGTAGGGATCAGTTAAGGCATAGCTTCAAAAACTTTGAAAAACAAATCTAGTATGTCGCAACCTTCATAATTATAATGATGTGATGAAAAATTCTAAAACTCTCATTATCATATTTTTGTCTGTATTCATGGTAAATATCATAGTATGCATTATTTAATATCGTCCCTGTTTATAATTAATGTTGATTGGGAATAGCAATGAATGGAGCACAATCTTGCATTCATTATATTGACTTCATCAGTTTTATGTGCAAACATTTTAAGGCAGCGGATCTTGGTGATTGGTGGAGGAGGTGCTGTGGGGTTTTCTGCCATTCAACTGTCAGTTGCTGCAGGGTGTTATGTATCTACCACTTGTGGAGGTGAGAGTATAGGTCGCATTTTGGCTACTGGCGCTGAACAGGCAGTTGATTACACCACTGAGGTACATGGTTGTGTTTGTTATGTGCATGGTTCTCCTGCCATCTCATTTTGTGATGATGAGAAAAATGCTACCTCCTGGTTTCGGTTTGAAGTTCTCTCCCACTATAATTTTCTTTTTCTCGTTGGTTCATTCTAGGATGTTGAAGTAGCTCTAAAGGGGCACTTCGATGCAGTATTGGATACTATTGGTGTTCCGGAGACTGAAAGGATTGGCATCAATGTTTTGAAGAGAGGCGGGCACTATATGACATTGCAGGTTACATACTGTTTGATGCTTTCCCCTCCCTGCTGCTGAGTTTAACAAAATTCATTTCGCTTGATTTGCAAATCTTCCTATATATAGGGAGAGGCTGCTTCATTAACTGATAGGTATGGACTAGCTATTGGCCTTCCCATGGCAACTGCTATATTGCTCAAGAAACAGATCCAATATCGGTATTCTCATGGAATAGGTACATAACAATATTTTGATATTGCCTGACCATCTAAGTGCATTAAGCTGCTGTGGCCTGTGGTATTATCTGGACATTGAGAAAAGACAGCATGAGGAAATACTGTTTGTATATTTCTACTCTTAGATGCTTTATTTTGACATGGGCAGAATATTGGTGGACTTACATGAGGGCTGATGCTGAGGGGTTGGATGAGATCCGGAGGCTATCTGAAGCTGGGAAGCTCAAAGTACCAGTTGAAAAGACTTTTCCTATTGCTCATGTTCAAGATGCCCATCATGCCAAGGGTAAAGGGAAAATTCCGGGCAAAGTAGTGCTGGAGATTGACTAGATTTGCTTTCAAAGTTTTCAAAGCTATGCCTTAATCAATCCCTACGACATAATAACATCAAGTTCCATATCTAAAATGTAAATTCTTGAAAACGTTTTTGTAGGTTCTCTTCTTCGTTATATATCATTTATAGAAATAAGTACACACACAGCCTGGGATTCAGTTACATTTCAGTGTTTTTGTAGTTGACAATGAACTCTTGTATGACAGACATGTTTCTGAGTGCATTGAAATATAACATTCTTTTTAATCTATGTGAACAAACGGCACCACGAATTATGATTATGACTAATTTGAGATTTTGAGTGCTGTTTAATAACCTTGTCTACATGGTCTCGTTTATGCATTTTCCAAGTTAATTAATAATTAGGTTAATAGTACATGGCTAAAAAATGTGAGCTTCATCAATAGCTTTTGAAGGAAAAAGTTCAACTTAACTAAAGAATGAAATGACATTATGGCAAAATAAACTCACATTCTCCCAAGTCCCAAGAAACAACATTCCATGAATAAGGTGCGATGAGGAGACAAAAAGAGCACGAGGCCTTTTTCTTAAGCTTATATTAAGAATGTTGACTTTTTATTCTTCATCCCTGCTCTTTCACATTTTTCCTATTCAGTTTCCAAATCTTCTTAGTCTTCTCTGTCAACAAGAACATGTTCTTTCTGATTTTCCAAACAAAAAATGAGAACATTTTTTTTGCATACATAAATTTATTTATTATTAATATGACATTTTAGTTTTAAGTTGACTGTGTTACAAATACTCTTTGAACTGATATTGTATTCATTTGAAAAATTTATAGTGTAGGAGCACAATGTGAACGGGATAACCCCAATGAATGGGATACATAGGTTAAAAATAGGTCAGGACATAATCAAACACAAAAGTTAATTTGTTATTTGAGGTGCCCTAAAATTGACAAAAGTTAATTTGTTATTTGAGGTTGCCCTAAAAATGACAATGTGTCATGCAATCATGCATCTATGTCCTCCTGCGGAATCCATTGTGGAGCGTGTCTATATGGAGGAGAAAAGCCAAGCATTCGTACGACCATTTACCTAGCGATACATATACTTGTTCCATAAAGGTGGAATCTCCCACCCCAGGAGCCCCCACACCTAGACCCGACATTTAGCGATACATATACTGATATACTCTAAGAACATCTTAAATGTGTATGGGCCTTTTGGTGGTCTATTTTTAATAGGACATGAGAGGAAGAAAGAAATTAATTATCTTTATCTTTATGTTTATCTTTATCATCTTTATATATTTAAAGACACTAAATGTGAGAGCGGCCTAACACTAGGGCAAAAAAATGTAATTTGACCAGCATTTCTCCGCTCACCATTTCTCCTATTCGGCCCACCTCCCCGACTTCCTGCCTTCTACTCTCTTCTTTTTCACCAGAATATTGCCTATGATTTCCGTGGATCGCTTCACCGCACCAGCACCCATACTATTTCGAAACCCTCCTCACCTTCTCTTCGACGTTTTAAGCACTTGATGAAGAGCTCCAGAAGTTCCTTCAATCCTCTCAGCCGCAGTGGAAGATGAAGTCACCCCGCCGCTTCAATTCATCGAGGTATCACCTGAAGAGTAGCTATTTTTGTATGATTTTATTGATTTACTGATAGCATTGAATTCAACACCAACATACACGTTTATTATAAGTTACATCAATTCCAGGAATTAGGGCATATTTTTATGCTCTTTGAATCTCTCAAGAAGGAAACCTTTGATGCGATCACGCTTTGTTTCTTCTTGAGCTTTCTTAATTTGAACTCCCCAACGCTCAATCGTTTCTAGATATATGATGTTGCATCCCAACAAGCTTTTAATACGGAGTATACGTGTCTTTTGATCCTCTCATTCTTTTAATTATTATTGTTAAATTACTATGTATATGTGTCTTTTATTTATATTTAGATGTAATACAGAGTAGAATATTATTTCAAATGATAATTAATTATATATCCAGATTCCTTTGACTGTGATTGTGGCATGGATCTGTTAAGATTCGGGGTTCCATCCTAAAAGGTCAACCTGATAGGAGGAGTAGCTCATGTCTTAATATAACACTTTGTTGATTCAAACTTTTTCGGTGTGTGACTTTAACACCCCTCCTCACGACCAAACATTTCGTCTTGATCCTGCTTTATTCATTTTTTCATCAGTTCGTCATTGTCATTTTTTTATAATCATCGTCATTTTTCATAAGGGGCCCACACCACGGTTATGGATCGATTTGGCTCTGATACCATGTTAAGATTTAAGGTTCCATCCTAAAAGGTCAACCTGAGAGGAGAAGTAGCTCATGTCTTAATATAACACTTTGTTGATTCAAACTTTTCCGGTGTGGGACTTTAACAATCTTTGGAATCAAGATGGACCTTGCGTTCAGCCCTATAGAAACTAGCGCTCTTGCTTTGTCTATTTAATTTTCATTACCTTTTGATGTGTCTTTTGTTTGCTAATGTTAGTTTCATCCACTCATGTAACACCGTCCCCAAATATATTTACTTTTATGTAAATCATGTATTGAACCTTATGAAATGGTTAATGAATTTACGTGGTTGTAAATTTTTGTTATTACTTTTGCGTGAATAGTGAATTGCACGTGGGGCCCACACCGAGAGCGGGGACCACCTTTGTTTCCGGGACCACATATTATATTCATCTTAGTCTAGATAATATGTATATGGTGGTGGATATTCTAGTTGGGTCATGGAAAGGGCTCAAGGTTGACGGGTTAGTCAAACGAGGCCCAATTATCGGTATTGGTAATTTATCGGACAACAGTCCGAAATGAATTTCAGAGACTTCTAAATTAAAGTTGGGGAATGTATATTCATTATAAAGGCCCATAGTGGTTTAGAATGTGTGATATATTTTATTTGATCCAATAAAATAAAATATAATTAAAACAGTCCGAGAAATACAACTTTCAGAGCCGATTGTACAGTTCGGACATAAAGGGATGACCTCCCACCTGAGTGGGGGACACCCCACGTTTTTGTGTGCTAAATGGTTGACTTGTAGAGCTTCATGGTGTAGAAGAGTGGTGTGAAATGAGTGAGAGTGATTGGTTGGTGTAGGTATGGCCTTGGGTGGACCTCCCCTCTCAATTATCTTACAATTGAGATGAAAGAAACACATCACCTCCCACCCCGATCACTTTGCTCAACCTAGCCATTCCAAGAGAGAGAGAACACCCCTGCAAACACCATTTCTCCATAGTCAAGAGAGCTCAACCAAGAAAGGAGCTTAAGGAAGAAGAAAAAGGTTGCAAAGTAGAGAAAACCCTTGAGAATAAAGGTGAGAAATTCTTTAATGACTTTCCTTCTACTCCCTCCGTCCCGCTAACAATGGGACAAGAGGGAGTGACACACAAATTAATAAAAAATGGATTATGTGGTTGATATTAAATTTATAAATTAAGAATAAAGTAAAAATGATATAAAGCCACACAAACTTTACTAAATTTGGTATGAGACGATCTTAGTGGGACGAACCGATAAGGTAAAACGGGACAATCATAGCGGGACGGAGGTAGTATCATTTATTTATCATATGATTAGTATAGCATATGAGGAGCCTCTAGGCTTGTTCTACATGTTTAGAAATGTAGAATGGGGGGTTGGAAGGTAGTTCTAAGTCCAAGAACGGACTTAGAAGCCAAGGTGACCGGTTCGCCGGAAAATAACCTTTTAAAGGTTATTTGTATTGATATGGGTTTTGTGATGATAAAACCTTATTAGGAACTTGTCTAAGGTGTTCCTAGAGCTTTCACGGAGTTGAAAGAGTCGTAACGTGCACTTTGTCGTGGTGTGCACTCAAAATAAATAAATACAATACAACACGTATACGTAGTATAGTGTAATAAGGTTCGTATCCACGTGGAAAAGAATACTTTTCTTTTACGTAACTAGTAACAAGGGTTTTTTTTGATTGATTGATGAACTATAAATGTATTTAAACACTAAGATGAACAACTTATGTGTTTTACTTAATTGAGATGAAGACTTGGTTTTGCTTATATCCACTTAATGAAATGTTCATCGATCCCGGTTATATCTTTAACTATCTTTCTCTCGAATACTCAAACGAGGAGTATATCCAATTCATCGAGGGTAGTTATTAATAACGAGATGCGTTCATTAACAAAACTTACTACCGAGTCAATATAGAACACGTGCCGTATATTAACCCGATAATAGCAATAAACTTAAGATGAAAAAGATTGAGATTGATAACCTCAACACAAGCGGTTTATTGGTTTAATCAATATAATTAATTCCCCTTAGATTATTAATCATGAGACGTATTCATTAATAATCCAAGTTTACTACCGTGAATGGACCGAACGATTAACAAGCGTATTTGACGATCAATTCTAGTAATAATTAATATATGAAACAAAACTAGTTGATCCTTTAAGTAATGCTCAAAATATTAATATGAAATATGAATAGGGATTAATTAATATTCAAGGAAGAATATTAAAGAAAATAAATGCTACTTTAATTAATTTCGAGATGTTATCTAATTGTCATCTTAGCAACACTCCCTGACATTTATATAGAGAGAGATTAATTAATACTCAAGGAAGAAGATTAAAGAAAATAACTCATAACTTACAATTCATTAAGCTTTAACGTAGCAAAACCAAGATATAAGAGTTTAGCTCCTCATTTGGAAACTAAACATGCTAAAAATATAAAGGAAATACTTAACTAAACTGAACTTAGAAGTGTATAGGAATTGGTGGGGTTTGTGTGAAGGAAAGGGATGTATTTATAGGGAAAATGGGGCATGCAGGGATGTATACCGACCGGTTTTATAGGGTACCCGATCGGGTATACCCTGAAGCTTCCCGGAATCGTGAATTGTTAGCTATACCCGATCGGGTGTGTCGGATACCCGATCGGGTATAGACACTTGATCGTGGTCAAAATCTTCCCTGCACGTTCCTTTGTTCTTGGATACAATTTGATTTGCAAAACAAGTCGGTACCCGACCGGGTACAGCCCAAAGACGAGATCTTCCCTTTTTGTCTTGTACTTTTGCACCTTTCTTCCACTTTTGTGGTTCACCAATGGTCTCTTGATTGAACATGGACCTGTTTTAGCTCAGAAAAGACCTAATCTAAACAAATTACAAATATTTTACAAACAAAACTATTACACCAAAAGTGTGTAATTTCCAAAGTAATAATCAATCAAAACTAATAAAAAACAAAAACATAAACATGGAAATTACATGAATTTCAAGTCGCCGGAGTTATCACCGGAGTTCATCAAAGTTCGCCGGAGTTTCGCCGGAGTTCAACCGGGAAGGGTAGAACTTCTTAAAGCTCATTCGAGGTGAGTGGATGACTTAATGTCTTGTAAATCTTGGGTTAAGTATGAGATTACCTAAAGAAATGTTATAAGTATTCATAAAGATATTTAAAAGAGTTTAATCATGTGATTAGCCAAGGTAATTAGGCTTATGTGAATGAAACCACATGATTATGCATGTGAAGAGTATAAAATGTGTATAAAAACATATGTGATGTTTTGGATGGATAAAATGGAATTTATTGATTATTTAGACCTTATACATGTTGTTTAAAAATTTCGGACCAAACTAAGTTCGTTTCGGGGTCAACGGGCCGTTGACCCGAACAAAGGGAGTAAACCGGTGCCGGTTATAGGGCTTAATCAGTGACGGTTAAGCTGCTGCCACCGGGTTCTGTTTTCGCCAAAATGCGGTTCGGGGCCCGGTTCTGGTGGAGTACCAAAGGATCGGGCGTGTATCCTCAAAACTCGGTAAATAAATGGTGGAGAACCCAAGGATGACGATACTGTCCTCAAAACTCATATGTTTAGATGGTGGAGAACCTAAAGATGACAGTACTGTCCTCAAAACTCAAATGTATACATGGTGGAAACCCAAGGATGATGGTACTATCCTCAAACCTCGGTACATAAATGGTGGAGACCCGAGGACGACGGTACTGTCCTCAAAACTCATATGTATAAATGGTGGAGAACCCGAGGACGGCGGTACTGTCCTCAAAACTCGGAATATGAATTGAATAGGACCAGGAGGAGTCCTATTCACTCATAGGTATATGGGTGGGTTGGGATTTAAGTCAAGGATATTGACTACTATGATTTTCCCAAATAAACAATGACCTACATGTCGGACATTTCCAAGTGTATATATACTGATATGTATTTCATAACTTGGGGGAAAGGACTATACGTATATGTATCACCCTATGTTTGAGTCTTATACTTGAAACATTAGTTATTCTACATTTAGTTTGCTACTCGTTCGGCACTTGTACTGACCCCTTTGGGGGGGGGGCACCATTTTCAGGTTGAAGCTAGGGCTTGCTACCTTCACCTTCTTACAGGTGAAGTCAACTCAAGGAAGACTTGATTCGTGATTCCTTATTTCCTATCAAACTACCAAACACTTGCTTATGACTATTTGATTTACTATAAACTATTTTTGTCCTGTGAGCCCGTGTTTTGGCCGATTGTGGCCCACATTTTACCGTTGAATATTTCCGTTATTCATTGGTTTAAATGTGATGTTGTTATGTATGTTTACTACTGAATATGGATGGATTATGTTAATGGACGCTTTGTATGATTAAGTCACGTTGACTTGCGAGTGACGTCACTTAGTCATACAATGGTTGTACACGCGCTTAGATGCGGTCTGGGGCATGACAATTAAGTAGTATCAGAGCCATCTCAGTTCTAAACTATGTAATCAACCTCTCACAAGAGATTGTACAAAAAGAGTTTTACCAAAAACCATGAGCATTGTAGTTTGGCGTTTATAGGACTATTGTTACCTAAGTTGCAAGGTCTCTAGTTGTTAAGATGGTACCCTTAACAATTGATATGGTGGTGACTTGGGACAATAAGTGTCTATAACATGTTCCGTCAATTGACATTGATTGGAGTCTAATGACTCGTTCAAATTCTTTTGTAGAAATGGAGGGTAGACGCATGCCGACGAGGAACAACCCTAGAGGATTAGCTTTGGGAGCCTCCATGGGGGCTAGCCGAGCCACATCCCTTGGTTCTAGGGGGGAGAAGAGGAGGTCGTGGAGACCGTGGGGGCCACTGACCGGGCTAAACTTGCAAGTGTACAAGTGCCGATATAGTAACAAATTCCGGTAAAATACCGGGTTGAATCCACAAGGAAACGTTGTTTAATTTAGTCTGAGAGTTGATGACTTTAAATAAATAAATGAGTAAAGTGTAGGGATTTTGATTTGTGTTTTAAATTTTTGACTTTTCACTTTTTATTTAAGAAGATAATCGTTAACTAATTTGGAGTTTAAGATGAATGATTGATAGGCACTAGTTGTTAGTGCCTAAGTGTAACACCCCAGCCCCGTAGGCCTCGAGGTAGTTACTTCTGACCTCTAGTACTGTCCTCACAAACCGCCACTAGCCTTTTCTGCGCACTTTGTCCTCACTCGTGCGCGCCCTGAGAAACTTCCCAGGGGGTCACCCATCCCAAGACTACTCCCGTGCAAGCACGCTTAACTTTGGAGTTCTTAGGTGATGAGCTCTCTTAAAAGGAGATGCATCTTGTTGGTATGAGTAGTACTATTAATCCGTTTAAATTAAATCTCAAGTGTTACAATCACCCCCACTTAGGAACGCAACGTCCTCGTTACGCCCATAAACCAATCTCAATCATATCCCATAATCTTTTTCCCCTGCTAAGTGTCCGCCCGATATCCAACGGATCAGCACACTGTCGCAGGGTTGCTCTGATACCATTTGTAACACCCCGGCCCCGTAGGCCTCGAGGTAGTTACTTCTGACGTCTAGTACTGTCCTCACAAACCGCCACTAGCCTTTTCTGCGCACTTTGTCCTCACTCGTGCGCGCCCTGAGAAACTTCCAAGGGGTCACCCATCCCAAGACTACTCCCGTGAAAGCACGTTTAATTTTGGAGTTCTTAGGTGATGAGCTCTCTTAAAAGGACATGCATCTTGTTGGTATGAGTAGTACTATTAATCCGTTTAAATTAAATCTCAAGTGTTACACTAAGTATACATTTTTATTATTGTTTGTAATGTTTATTTACTAGTTTTGTGCAAGTTTATAGTTGTTAGTTTGCATTTGATTGTAATCGTATTTCTAGCATTTTATTGTTTGTTGTAAGTTGTAGTTAGTTTGGCTATAAGTTTAGGATAGGTTTGGAAGCAAAAAGGATGAAGAAACCTGAGTTTTGTGCAAAACCCGGTCGGGTATGGACTTTACCCGGCCAGGTATGAAGTGACAAAGGAAACTGCTGCAAAACTAGCAAATACCCGGTCGGGTATTCCATATACCCGGTCGGGTATGAAGTGATTTCGGACCAAAGAACGTGCAGAAGACACAAAAACATGGGAAAATATTTGGTTTGGTAAATACCCGGTCGGGTATGTCAAAATACCCGGTCGGGTATCCGGCATTAGGTGTTGAAAACACCTATAAATAACCCCATTTTCCTTCACTTTTCATCATCCTTTCTTCCATACTCTTTAGCTCAGTTTAGAATAGCATTTCTTTATATTTTTCTAGCTATGTTTAGTCTCCAAATGAGGAGCTAAACCTCCATTCTTGGTTTTGCTCTTGAAGCTTGTTGATTATTAAAGTTGTGAGTTATTTTCTTAACTTCTTCTCTTGATTATTAATTCTTCCCTTAATCTCATTCTATATTAATGTTGGAGGGTTGCTAAGTGACGATTAGTTAACGTTCCGACATTAATTACTACTAGAAACGATCAACGAACCGATGGTTAATCGTTGGTGGTTTCACAAGTAAGTAACTTCGGTTTATTAATGCACGGTCGTGGTTAATAGACTTAAGAGGGATCAATTTTGTTGGTTAAACCGAAACCGTTGTGTTAAGGTTATCAATCTCAATTGATTTCATCAAGGAGTTAAAAAGATTGAATGCTACTATTATATCGGTATACGGCGTTGTTCTATATTTGATTAATAGTAAGGGTTATTAATGAACGGTCGTTGTTAATAACTACCCTCGATGAATTGGAGATACTCCTCGATTGAGTATTCGAGAGGGAATAAGTTATAGATATAACAAGGGTCGACTAAAATATATCAACAAGTGGAAAGTAGCAAAGCCAAGTCCCTTTTATTCTTGAATGAAACACATATAGGTTGTTCATCTTAGTTTCTTAATTGAATTAAATCACTCAAAACCAAATCCCCCATTTTATTTACTAAGTATCATAAAAAGAGAATTATCCCTTTCCCTGTGGATACGAACTCTAATTCACCTATACTACGTATAAGTGTTTAGTATTGAATTTATTTTGACGCACCGTGACAAAGTGCTCGTCAAATTTGGCGCCGTTGCCGAGGAAAGGCAATTACTTTTCTTTTTATTTTATCTCATAAAAATCGAAAACAAAATATATATATATATATATATATATATATATATATATATATATAAATTCTTGCTCTTCTATTTTCTGAGCTTACATGAGTTATGAGTATATGGATACCAACACTTCATCCTTAGAGAGTCAAATTTCCTTCTTGACTTCTCTAATAAAGGAATCTATCTTTAACTCAAAAGCTCAAGATGCCAAGACATGCAACATTTGCATGTCTCACAGGCATCTTACGGACTTCTGCCCAAAGCTTCAAGAAGAATACCTTTCACAAATTGATGATGTACCTCACATGAGGTATGATCCATTCTCCAACTCTAATATGTCCACGGAGGACATGGTTCGGGCTCTTACTAACAGTGTGACCGCCATGCAACAAAACATGGTGCAATTCCAAAATGAGACCAAGTCTAGCATTTTGAACTTGGAAACTCAAATGAGTCAAATAGCCGGAGTCGCGAGTAGGCTTGAAGCAAGGGATTCAGAAAAACCTCCTTCTCAACTAGAATGTGATCCTAAACAACAAACTTTTGCAATCACATTGACAAATGAAGAGGAAATGCAAAAGGAGATCCAGAATCCAGAAGAAGTAGAGGAAGAAAAAGACACAGAGCTCCAACTGGTCAAAGAAGAGGATAATCTGAGCTTCAAGGTTAAATATCTATCCTTGTCATCTTTTGAGGTACCCCCATCAATTCTAAACATTTTGAGGGAAACTCATAAACTTGGAAAGGACAATGACATTTCTGAAATCCTCTTCAAAATTGAGGGATTGAAAAACTTTTCATTGACCATAGTAAACGATAATTTCTTCCCTTTCCTCCCACCGCATGAATCAATGACAATCTGAATATTTGATCCTGGAAAGATTCCCAAATTGAAGAGTCGAGAAGTTGAGCACTCCTATGAACGTCCTAGGAGTGAAAGTGTGAAAAAGATAAACTATCATGATCCAAGTTTGAATGACTGAACACAATGATGGCGTCGTGCCACGACGTTAAATAAGGCGCTTCTTGGGAGGCAACCCAAGCAAGGGCAATTGGGAGTTTCTAGCTCCGGTGAACATAGTCTTGGTGGCGATGGTGGTTATGGAGGGTACGACGACGATCATGGTGCCGAACACTAGGGACAGTGTTTCGAAAAAAGTGTAGGGGAGGCACTCATTTGGTATGTACTCATTTTTTTACATTGTAACTTGCATTATTTTTCTTCAAAAAAAACCAAAAATAAACAATAAAAGAAAAAAATGCTAGTTAGGTTGAAAACCCCCAAAAAATGGGCAACCTAAGCAAAAGTGGCTAAAATGAGTGAGTTGTGAGAAAATAAAAATAAAAATAAAAAGAGAGGCTAGGATGAAAACCTGAAAAAGGCTCCTAGGCAAAATGAGAGAATGAGAGAAAAATATCTATTTATGCAAGAAGATAATAAAAAAAAATGTTGGATGGTTGTTCTGCTACTCTTGTGGTTTTTGAAAATTTCATGGACATGTTTTAATTTACTCGAGACGAGTAAAGGTTCAAGTGTGGGGGTGTTTGATAGACACTAGTTGTTAGTGCCTAAGTATACATTTTTATTATTGTTTGTAATGTTTATTTACTAGTTTTGTGCAAGTTTATAGTTGTTAGTTTGCATTTGATTGTAATCGTATTTCTAGCATTTTATTGTTTGTTGTAAGTTGTAGTTAGTTTGGCTATAAGTTTAGGATAGGTTTGGAAGCAAAAAGGATGAAGAAACCTGAGTTTTGTGCAAAACCCGGTCGGGTATGGACTTTACCCGGCCAGGTATGAAGTGACAAAGGAAACTGCTGCAAAACTAGCAAATACCCGGTCGGGTATTCCATATACCCGGTCGGGTATGAAGTGATTTCGGACCAAAGAACGTGCAGAAGACACAAAAACATGGGAAAATATTTGATTTGGTAAATACCCGGTCGTGTATGTCAAAATACCTGGCCGGGTATCCGACATTAGGTGTTGAAAACACCTATAAATAACCCCATTTTCCTTCACTTTTCATCATCCTTTCTTCCATACTCTTTAGCTCAGTTTAGAATAGCATTTCTTTATATTTTTCTAGCTATGTTTAGTCTCCAAATGAGGAGCTAAACCTCCATTCTTGGTTTTGCTCTTGAAGCTTGTTGATTATTAAAGTTGTGAGTTATTTTCTTAACTTCTTCTCTTGATTATTAATTCTTCCCTTAATCTCATTCTATATTAATGTTGGAGGGTTTCTAAGTGACGATTAGTTAACGTTCCGACATTAATTACTACTAGAAACGATCAACGAACCGATGGTTAATCGTTGGTGGTTTCACAAGTAAGTAACTTCGGTTTATTAATGCACGGTCGTGGTTAATAGACTTAAGAGGGATCAATTTTGTTGGTTAAACCGAAACCGTTGTGTTAAGGTTATCAATCTCAATTGATTTCATCAAGGAGTTAAAAAGATTGAATGCTACTATTATATCGGTATACGGCGTTGTTCTATATTTGATTAATAGTAAGGGTTATTAATGAACGTTCGTTGTTAATAACTACCCTCGATGAATTGGAGATACTCCTCGATTGAGTATTCGAGAGGGGATAAGTTATAGATATAACAAGGATCGATTAAAATATATCAACAAGTGGAAAGTAGCAAAGCCAAGTCCCTTTTATTCTTGAATTAAACACATATAAGTTGTTCATCTTAGTTTCTTAATTGAATTAAATCACCAAAACCAAATCCCCCCTTTTATTTACTAAGTATTATAAAAAGAGAATTATCCCTTTCCCTGTGGATACGAACTCTACTTCACCTATACTACGTATAAGTGTTTAGTATTGAATTTATTTTGA